AAGTGGAGCTCTAACCGTGAGGTTGCAGGGCACCTGCTGGCTGTCTCCGGCTCTCCACACTTGAAGTTGGACTGAGAACTGGGCCCGCTTGGAGAAAAGGGAGCGGTAAGAGGTACGGAGAAGTGATGGCGTTTTGTTTTGTTTTTCTTCCTGAACTTTGATCACATAAGTCAAAAAAGCCTTTTTGCTCAAGTGGTTCAATTCAGGTTCTATCATTTGCAACCTGAATCCTCAGCTGTTTTTAAAAAACATCCCTTCAAACAAGTATTTTCCACGAACATGCTAAGAATTGTTTTGAAAAATAAAAAATTATTTTGTAAATCAAATATTTACTTTCAAAAATTTGTTTTATGCAAATTCAAGTTTTTAGGTACTAGGTTTTCTTATAATACTTCAATGTTATATACAATGGGAAGGACTAACAATTGAAATACAGTGTAGACAAAATTCTAGTGTTCAGATTCAATTTGAACAAATAGAAAAGTGTGTTAGTCTCACAGAGAGAATTAAATATTTTATTTTAGATGATAAAAATATTATATCCACTCTAATGTATCATAAAGGATAACTGAATATTTGCATAAGTAATGAAAGGGTTAAGAAATTATTTGGGTTATAATCAGAGGAACATAATAAGCGTAAATCTGTAGACGGGTATTTAAAAAAAAATCCAATAAAAGGCTAAACATTTTCAAACATTTAATATATATTATTTCTGATTAAGATGTTTTTGCTGTAGTGTCAGAAAAATCACAACAAATTGGGTAAATGTATAAGTTTCTATGAGTTCTCTAGTGCCATCTGTATATTTGTTCAGAAACAAGGCCATAATTCTCAGAACACAGCACATTAGGATGAGGGGAGAGGAATGCCTGATGCTGCTGACACAGTTAACTAACAAGCGGTGAGGCTGGAGCAGACCAGAACGAAGTGGAGCCAAGTCACTGAGTGGGGCTGCGAAGGGAAAGCAGAGCTGAGCCAGGACAGTCCAGTCAGGATCATGTTCACAGTGGCTCAGGGTTTTTGTTTTTTAATGTGTTCAGAGACAAATTCTATCAAGATGTGTGTGGTTTTTTTTGTCATCAAGCCTTTCTTCTTGAATTTGTGACTTCACAACTGAGGCACTTGGCATACGTAAGGGAAAAAATGAATACATTCAGTTTTGTCAGATATTAAGCTAGAAAACCAAATTCTTGTTTCCTGTAAGAACTGTACACACAAACAGGTTTTGCTTATTAATGGGGGAGGTAAGAAGAGGAAGTGGTGTTTAGCTCTTTCAAAAAGATAAAGGGAGAGGGGGAGAGGAGACAGTAGGAATGCAGAGGAGCCCTAAGGAATGGAGCAATTAATACAAGGAAAACAGTTCCCATCTGTGATGTTCTGCTTCAGGCATCTGTACCTTAGGCACCTGTGCTGGAGAGGAATGCTTCAGGATCTACCTGTTGTTAATTTCCCGGGGCTAGACACAGATTTTCTGAAGCCTTGCCAGGCATCTGCCCCCTTCTGAGTGTGAAAGCTTCATTTCCTAAAGTGATCTGAATGATTGGAAGGTGTCACATGGTGTCCCGTCTTGAATGCTTCCACTGTTCTGAATATCTGGGCCAGCAGTGGGAAGGGGACACTTGTATTTTCAGCTCATATGCTTTTCAAGTAGAATACCCTTGACTAAATAAAGGGAACATCATCTCACACCCTCTGAACCTCCACTTCAGCACACAATCCCTCCATCAAAAGGAGAGCTCATTGTTCCCAAGGCGGAGGGGTAAGAGGCTGCTCTGTACTGCATAAGACTCCACAGCAATCAAAAATCTACTCAAAACCAATGGTCCAAATTAAGTGACGGGCTGATGCAGCCCGCTATCAGCAGTAGGAATATCATTTGGACCAGCGGTCACCAACCGGTGGTCCACAGATCACTGGTGGTCTATGAGGTTCGGAAGGTTGGCGACCACTGATTTGGACTACTTTTGGCAGGTGAAAGAATGTCACCCCACTGAATGTTACCTTAAAAATATTTTATCAGAATATAAGGCCACTTCACTGTTTTTAACCTGTACAAGTTAACGTTTGCTTTGAAACATTAACTATATACAATACTTTCTGCCTTGGGTGCTCTTTATTTTGGAGGAGTGTCTGTACTTCAAGCCTTTTCTCTAAGCTCTACGAACCAAAGTTATGAAGTAGCTGCAAATGTGGTCTTAATGGGATGTCATTTCCTTGAGTCTTCACTACTTAAGGCAATTGTTAAATGTGCACCATTTTCTGGGGATCCTTCTCTGAAAAGGAATATATTGATTAAATATTGGGTCGGCAGGTAAGTAATTGCGGATTTTTTAAAGAAAATCAAAGACAATTTTTTCATGGAACTAAATAACTTTATTCTGTAATGTATTGCCCATTTTGATCAATGACCTTTTGCCATCTTTCAGGCAGGATCATAATCCCACGTTCAAAAAACTTCTGGTTTTTATTAGCAAAAAACTGAATCAGGTACGATTTGACATCATCATCATTATTGAAATTTTTACCATTCAAGGAGTTTTGTAAAGATCGAAACAAAAAGTAATCAGATGGTGCAAGGTCAGGACTATATGGTGGATGTGGCAAAACATCCCAACCAAACTCCATTAATTTTTGCCGAGTGACCAAAGATGTGTGTGGCCTTGCATTGTCATAATGGAATACAACACCTTTTCGATTTGTCAATTCGGGCCGCTTTTCTTCAACTGCATTGTTTAATTTCATTAGTTGTTCAATGTAGACATCAGAATTGATCGTTCGGTTGGGTGGTAAGAGTTCAAAGTAGACAATTCCTTTGTAATCCCACCAAACTGATAACAAAACCTTCTTTTGATGAATATCAGCTTTTGATGTTGTTTGAGTTGGTTCACCTGGCCTGCTCCACGATCTTTTCCGCTTGATATTGTTGTAAACAACCCATTTTTCATCGCCAGTTATCAGTCGTTTTACAAATGGATCATTTTCATTACGTTTCTTTAGCAAATCGCAGCTGCTAATGCGTTGCGTTAACTGTGATTCTTTCAGTTCGTGAGGAACCCATGTATCGAGTTTTTGAACATAGCCAAGTTGTTTTAAGTGATTTTCAATGCATGTATGTGATACATGAAGCTTCTCTGCAATCTCACGTGTTGTACTGTGACAGTCCGAATTGATTATTGCTTTGATTAGGGCGTCATCAACTTCAACTGGACGACCAGAGCGTTTTTCATCTTTGAGTGAAAAATCACCAGAACGAAATTTGGCAAACCAATTTTGACACTGCCGTTCTTTTAAGGCTTCGTCACCATAAATAGCACATAACTTTTTATGAGCTTGCGATGCGTTTTTCCCTTTGCGGAAATAAAAAAGCAAAATATGACGAAAATGTTCCTTTTGATTTTCCATTTTTCAACGAACGCCAAACGAAAACTACAAAACAGATCAAAAAACTTTTTTTACTGATTAACAGCTGAATAGCCAACTATCAAATAACAAAATGTGTTTTACATTTGTACTACGTCTGCAAACCTAAAAATTCAACTGAAGCCATATGTGTGAAATCCGCAATTACTTAGTTGCCGACCCAATATTTTATGAAGCAGTTAAGATTGTTCTAAATCAAGTTGAAAAGATTAAGTTGTTATTCATTTTGAAATACAAAAGTACTTGATTGATTTTCAGACTTATTTGGAATTCAGAATCTTTGTGCTACACAAATTTTTAAAAAAGGCAACGGCTTACACTTTCTGAAGTTTAGAAATACCATCCACAGGGCAATAAGTGACTTATTTTTTTTACCAGTCTGGTTGGTACAGTGATAGTGGGTATTCATTCTACCAGTTTGATCAGGTGGGCTCAACGTGGTTTCTCCACTGTACCAGATTATGTACGTCCACCTGTGGAGGTCAGCAAAGGGCCTACCAATGTCATCTGTTCTAAAATGCTCATTTTCTCCTACCTGCCAGTCATTCCAATAAGATGCCTATGAGAAGGTGCTTTCTCAAAATAACCCATTGTATCTAGGAATTTATTTATTTTAAATATAGAGGTAAGGTAGATATGAGAATATTTTTAATAACCAAAGAAATCAACCTAAATTCAGATGATATCCAGCATGACAGTTTTCTAATTTTGAAAGCCTATGATCTGAGCTTGTAATGGGTTATTCCTAAAAGTGCATACACTCTCTAAATATCCAGATGCTGCCACAGTCTGCCTCCCTTGTACAAAAGGCAGAAGACGAGAAGGAAGCAGACCCCATTCCACAAACTGAAGTAGACATCCACGCTGAGGATCAGCAGGTTATCCAGGCAGGCACAGTGGGGTGACCACAGCTCTCCAATCAGGAGGGAGGGGAAGAAGGGCCCAGTGAGAGAGAGGGAGGGAGAGACATCCACAAGTACAAGAGTCCCATTACAATTACAACACCTCACAAGATTTTCTAGTCAGAAGGCACATAAAAATACCTTACCAGTAAGTTACCGAGACAATGGAAGTGGAAATTGAAAGAAAAAACCCTCATTTGGATGGAAAGCACAGCTGTTTCATTAGGGATGCTGATGCTGAGGTCAGGGCAGGTGAAGTGGAGAAGGTGCTCTTGGTTTACTTTCAGTGGTTCTTCCGCACTCAGTAAAGCCGGGGAATATATTGATTAAATATTTTATGCCTTTTAAACGGACGCCCAAGTCCTCCGTGTGACAAAAGATTTACAGTGGTAGTTACACAAATATTTACTGTTGCTATGTCCCACAGGTTAGGCGGAGTTCACCGATCCAGCTGAGTGGAGTCTTCCGTGTTTTGTCCACCGCCACTCAGCATTATAAAGTCAGCCAAACAGAAACGAGTAAAGGAGCAATTATGAAATTCCTGACTTCTTTGCCTTGGTTATAGGTCCATAATTTGCATAAAATAAGTAATATGCTTTAAGTAAAAATCGGCATTAAAAGTTGAACGGTAGGAGAGCACAACAATCTGGTATTCTCAAGGCAAAACAATATTTATTTAAATATACACTTTATTATATCCACAGGCGATAAAATCCCAGAGCTACTGTTAGGCATGTAAATACAGACCCTGTAAGAAAAAGAATTAAGCACAGTATTAGTTATTTTAATAGTGACTTGAGGGAACAACTCTTTATTAAGAAAACATTTCCACCTATTTAACAAGGGGGAAAAACAGACTAAGAAACTTCTTCACTGATGTGCCACATTCCACGAGACACCTGCCCATAAAAAAAAAATAAACCTCACACCTTGAAATCATCTTCTTCCAAGTACAAATGTATCCAATAATCAAGAAAACTTTCAATAAGAGTTAAGAATCACAAAATCTGTGGTCACAGCATATGTAGATGTACTGGAAGGGATACAGACTTAGTTTATAAGCAAAATGTCACTACTTAATACCATGTAACTTTAAAATATTTTAAAAATATATATATTTTATTGATTTTTTTACAGAGAGGAAGAGAGAATCATCGATCAGCTGCCTCTTGCATACCCCCTACTGGGGATGTGCCCGAAACCAAGGTACATGCCCTTGACAGGAATCGAACCTGGGACCTTTCAGTCCGCAGGCTGACGCTCTATCCACTGAGCCAAACCGGTTTTGGCTGTAACTTTAAAATATTGATGAACCCAACATACTAAATTTGAGTTAAAATACTAATTTTTTTGTACATGAAGCTTTATTCCCTGTTTTGTCTCAAAAATTGCAAATAACTCCTTGTGAGGAAGGTCACCAATAGAAGCAGAAAGATCACAACTTAAAAGTTTTTCGTTCTCTGTCCATTTTTCTGTCTTGAATTCCACTTAAAAATTTTTTTAAATAACTGTAATTCAATGATAGTATCTTATTAGATTCAAGATTCCATTGATTGTAAAGTACATCATTTTATTTACTTCTAAGAAAAAATTGCCAATTATATGATACTTTCTATTGGAAATTATAAGAATCTTACCAAATTCAAAGATATTAAAATATGAAAAAGTATGTGTTAGAATCAATGAAATGCAATATCTACCCAACTTATTTTATAAAATTTATTTATTTTACTTTCAGCTTGTTTCAATTACCTAGATATAAAACAGCTTACCTGCTAAATATTTGATATTATCAAGCTTGTGCGACTCGAGCATGGTTTTGAGGCCAGCAACCTCAGTGTCTATCTTCCTGTCTGTCTGGGTGACGGCCCGGTCTTGCTGGGCATGCTTTTAAAACAAAGAGATTCGCAGCATTATACCACTTGAGATATACTGTCTGCTGTCAGTCCTGAGAGTTCCTGCCCACCAACGTGCAGTCAAGGGGAACTGGGGTAAGATTAAGGAGACTTGGGTTTTAGTCTTAGTTCTACTATCCTCATGCTATTTTGCATTGGTCAGGGCCTTTAATATACTTAGGCCTGTTTCTTTCTGTTTGAAAAAAGGAAAAAAAAATACCATTAGTTCTGCCTCTACACAGGCTATTTAGAGAATCCAGTGTGATAATCTATGTAAAAAAGCTTTTGTTAAAAGTAATGTTAACATTATGAAGCCAGTTTGTTCTTAATGGCAATAAATATGTTCCACACTTCTGAGTTCCCCTTAATGAAAAGCATACAAAAATGCTTTAAAAAAATGACAAAAATCACCAAAACCAGTTTGGCTCAGTGGTAGAGCGTCGGTCTGCGAACTGAAAGGTCCCAGGTTCGATTCTGGTCAGGGGCATGTACCTTGGTTGCGGGCACATCCCCGGTGGGGGGTGTGCAAGAGGCAGCTGGCCGATGTTTCTCTCTCATCAACGTTTCTAGCTCTCTATCCCTCTCCGTTCCTCTCTGTAAAAAATCAATAAAATATATTTTTTAAAAAATGACAAGAATCTTGGATAATTTAAAAGCAACAGTGCTTACTTTGACACTGCTTCTATTCACATTTTTTAAAGTTTTCTTCTTTTACAGTTCAAATACCAAGTGTTTTATTATTATGAGGCGTGGCTATTCCAAAGGCCTATTTGTGCTTTTTCTCTTTCAAATATAACAGTCAAACTAGATACATAATTACCCCCAAAGGACGGTGAGTTTGGCTGATGTTATAAAAGGGTTGTCATACTTCACTAATGCATCAATGCTTTACTAAAAATTCTAGGGCAGGTAAATAGTCCCTATGGCTAACAATTCAGGTAACAAATAAAAAAACAAGAGCCTGGATGAACAAAAAAGTATTCCAGAGGAATATTCCAATATTCTCTCAGGGAAGTCTCCAGAGGAATATTCCAATATTCTCTCATGGAAGTCTCCTGTGGGTTTCAGAGGTCCCAAGTAATATAGGATGGAAAAGAAGTAAACACATGCCATAAATTAAAAATATAATTTAAAGATTCATTCCTTATTATTCTTAAATCACTGAGATTTAAACTTTTATTATGATAATCAAGTATTTGGTTAAGTGCAAAAAAATCCTACGATACTCCACTTCCAGGTATATGCTAAAAAAAAAATTGAAAACAGGGACCCCCAGCAGATATTTGCATCCCCATGTTCATAGCGACATCATTCACAACAGCCACCAGAGGAAGCAACCCAACTGTCCAGAGACAGGATAATCAAATGTGGTGTATCCACCTAATTGCTGTTCACCTGTAAAAAGGACATTCTGACACATGCTACAATATGGATGAAGCTAAAGGAAATTATGCTAAATGAAAACAAGCCGGTCACAAAAGGACAAATACCATATAATCCCACTTATATGAGGTACCTACATTAGTCAAATTCATAAACAGAAAGTAGATAGTGGTAGTCAGGGACTGGAGGGCAGTTATTGTTTATTGGGGAGAATTTCAGTTTTTCAAGATGAAAAGAGTTCTGTTTATGGATGGTAGTGATGGTTGCATAATAATGTGAACGTACTTAATGGCTCTAACCAATTTGGCTCAGTAAATAGAGCATCGGACTGTGGACTCAAGGGACCCATGTTCGATTCTGGTCAAGAGCATGTATACCTTGGTTGCGGGCACATACCGAGTAGGGAGTGTGCAGGAGGCAGCTCAGCAGATCGATGTTTCTCTTTCATCGATGGTTCTAACTCTCTATCCCTCTCCCTTCCTCTCTGTAAAAAATCAATAATATATATATATATATATATATATATATATATATATCTATTATTGATTTTTTTATATATATATATTTTTAAATGGTTAAAATGGTACTGTTTTTGTGTATTTTACCACAATTAAAAAAAAATCCTATGATACTAAACCTGCACATAAGTTTCCTATAACACTTCACTACAAAGAGCAGTAACCATGCACAGGATAAAGCAGAGATGAATAAAATGACCAAGAAAAGTCGGTCTCATTTCTTACCAATGCCACCATTTCTGTCCTCATTTCCAGCAGCTTCCTCTCATTTAATGAATACTGAAACAAACATATCACATAGGTCAGATTCTGCTTTCTTTTCTCTCTCTCCTCCTCCACTAGTGTCTCAGATATTCTGGTCTCACTACTTCCAAGAATATGTGACACTAGAAACTGCTTCCAGCAGAAAGAAGCCTACGTGACCCTTTCTTTCCTTTAGATCTATTTTTTGAGGTTTCTTATTTATATTCACTCATCACTCCTGTATCTGGACTGCCTTTTGTTAGTCTTCACCTTTCTCTCTGTTTTTCTCTTTTCATTTCTTAGCTGTGGTGTCTCTAGGTCCCTCCCACTCCCATACCGGCACTCTAGGGACCAATTTAGACGGAGTCATACGCTTTTTGGCTTTGACAGGAGAGAGTTGAAAAAGTGGGGAATAATTCCAATAAAAATTGCCCCTGGGACTATAATAGCATTGCTTGTAAATAAAAATAAAAAAATAAATAAAAGAAGGAAGAAGAAGATGAAGAGAAAAAGCACCCAAACCCTAAACTAAGGACTAATCGTAGTACCAAAGAATGCTTATCTGTCTTTAAATGCCAGGGCTTCAGACCAGGAGAAAGCTATGCATCTGACCACCACCAGAAGGCAGGGGGAACTGGATTTTCTTCATACCTTCAAATTCTGGCCTTCAGTAAGTCAATATTGATTCAGCCACAAGAGAAAAGAAAAGCCTACATATCTTGATATTGCCATGATTTTTCAAATAAGTCCCATCTTTTTGTATCCCAAAACAGTTTACTTGCCAAACTACGTTTGAAACTGGCTGTAAATATCACCCCAGTTAATGTTATTGGCACAATATTACAACTTTATTAAACAAGGGAATGAGAGGGTCAAATAACTCATCTTCATCAATGCATGTTAAATACATACTAGCTGCATTATATTACGTTATTGTCCTGCACTTCAGAGTACTCTAAGTTTAGGATTACCAAGAACAACTTCTCAGCTAGGTCAGTAAATCATATAAACTCACAGGCTTTAATCGAGGCTCACATCCCATATTTCCCAATCTTCTAGGTATATTTCTTCCCAGGTTGGTTAACAACAGGCATCTTCTTAAAGCAAGTGAACTCAGTCCTGGCCGGGTAGACCAGTTGGTTAGAGCACTGTCCCCATATGCCAAGGTTGCGGGTGTGATCCCCAGTAAGGGTGTTCACAGAATCAATCAATGCAGGCATAAATAAATGGAACAACAAATCTATGTTTCTCCCCTCATTCTAAAACAAATAAACAAACAAATAAAATTTTTAACAAGTGAACTCAGAAAATTTGTTAAGTACACAAACCATAAGACAAAGATAGCCAAAAGAGTTTCTCCTCTTCCAGATACAGTCATATGCTAGCGATCACTAAATATTTTAGTGTTACTAAGTGATTTAATCCTCATGGTTGAAAAACATTTTAAGACTAGAAAGACAAAGCCGAAGCCGGTTTGGCTCAGTGGGTAGAGCGTCGGCCTGTGGACTGAAGGGTCCCGGGTTCGGTTCCGGTCAGGGGCATGTACCTTGGTTGCGGGCACATCCCCAGTGCGGGGTGTGCAGGAGGTAGCTGACCGATGGTTCTCTCTCATCAATGTTTCTAACTCTCTATCCCTTTCCCTTCCTCTCTGTAAAAAAATCAATAAAATATATTAAAAAAAAAAAAAGACTAGAAAGACAGGTAACAGGAACAGAATAATAATTATTTGGTATAACAAAGTTTAGCTTAACTATTGAATCCATATCCAGTTCCAAAATATGGTGAAATACTTGTTTGTGTTTCAATGTTAGTTTCATTTATCAGTGTAACATATTTTAGTTGAAAGCAAACTGTGAAAAATTAGAATACAACGAACAATTGTGAGTAATCGGTTTCTGCATGTGTATCCAACTCTATGTTAGTGAAAATTGTTTTTATATGCTTTTTCTCATTATGTCAAGAATAAAAAAGGTATCTCCTGAATGTTATTAAATCCAAATAAAGACTGAATAAGAAGAAAGATGGGTTAAAAATCAGAGGTAACCCAACACATAAAGATTAAAATATACAACTTATTGCCCCCATGTTCATAGTAGCATTTACAATACCAAGGTACGGAAGCAATCTAAAAGCCCACTGATAGGTGAATGGATAAAGAAAATTTGAGGTATATAGTATGTATCTCGAAGGAAATATTCTGTCTTAAAAAAGAAGAAAATATTGCTATTGCAACAACATGGATGAACCTTGGGAGCATTATGCTAAGTGAACTAAGTCAGACAGAGAAACAAATACTGTATAACCTCACATGGGGAATCTGAAAAACAAAGAAAACCCGGGGAGCTCAGAGATACTGAGAACAGATTAATGGTAGCCAGAGGCGAGGGATGGAGGATGAGCAAAATGGGTGGAGTCAAAAGGTATAAATTTGCAGTTAAAAGATGAGTCCTGGGGATGTAATATACCACATGGCAACTGGAGTTAATAATACTGTGCTGTATATTAGAAAGTTGCTAATGAGAGCAAATCTGAAAAGTTCTTATAACAAGAAAAAATTTCTTAACTATGTAATATGGTGATGGATATTAACTAGACTTACTGTGTTGATCATTTTGCAATATATACAAATATCAAATCATTATGTTGTACACCCAAAACTAATATATGTCAATTACACCTCAGTTAGAAAAGATTACTGCGAAAGCTCTGAGGGAAAAAATGTCGTATTTATATGTATTATCTTTGAAAAAGCGAGGGCAACAGAGCTATATTTCCAGTTTTCTTATTTTATCTTTTTGGTAACAAATGTGCAGCACTAACTTTCCTAATTAAAAGTTTCAATTTAACATAACTTACTCATTTAGAACTTGCATTTCAAAATAATACAGTAAAGTCATTACAATTTCTCTAAGAAAAAGACGAGAGAAATATTCTTTAAATCTTGAATTATGGTATAAAATTTAGTATTAGTATCATTTACTACCAAGTCAAGATTGAGGTTAATTTCTTAATATCTAAGTGATAATTTAGTATCTCTGAAACAAAAAGGATTCAAACTTATTTGACCAATATTTTAATTTTAAAGTTTTTTTTTTTTTTTTTTTTTTTTTTGTGTGTGTGTGTGTGTGTGTGTGTGTGGTTGTTTTGTTTTTTAGAGAGAGGAAGGAAGAAAGAAAGAAACATTGACTGGTTGCCTCCCATATGCTCCCTGACCAGGGATCAAACCTGCAACCTAGGTATGTGCCCTGACCAGGAGTCAAATCACCACCTCTTATGTGTAGGGGACGATGCTCCAACCAACTGAGTAAGCCACATCGGCCAGGGCAACATTTTAATTTTAATGTTACTTATGAAAGCATCAAATTTAAGTCCTAATAAAAAATATAATTAAAATAAATAAAAAACCTGTGTCATAATAATGACATATAGGTAAATATTTAATAGTACTTGCGAACTGTATATAAACCTAGACTTGACCAAGCATTCCATCCTGCAAAGAATGTAATTCATACTCTATTTTTAATAAGGGAACATACCAATTCTTTTACTCTGCTCTTTTCTAGATTGAAGTCTAATTTGGACTCTGTTCGGACCTTGACCACTTCATCCTAGTAGGAGGGCAAACAAAGAAAGAAAAAAATCCAAAGTAAGAAATTCAAACCCACCGAGTGTGTGAAGCCTGTGGACGCTACGTCCACTCTTCTAGGTAAGGGGTCAGCCCAGGGGCTCACAGAGCTGGAACCAGTGATTGGGGAGACTCTGGCCAACCCACATCTGGAGTCAGCCCTGCCTCGGGACTTTCCAGTTATATACAGAAATAATTCCCTTTTATGTTTAAGAGTGAGTCACTGTTGTTTTTTCATCTCAAACTTCCCAAGATAATATCCTGTGGGATTTATGATTAAAGCTGTTTCTTGGACAACTTTGGAAAGCAGAGATGGATTCATAGAAGTAAAATATTACATTCTTATTTAAATACAGCCTTCTTTATGACACTCATAAAAATATTTTCTTCTTTCACATCAATGTCCTTGCCATTTAAAAAAATCAAACTGGCACAGTGTTAATCCTTTTAAAATCACATGTAATTCTCTAAAGATATGTGAGAACCCTTCAAAGAGAATATAAGGGTTCCACTTGGCTACTTTAGAGAATTTCTTATTTAAAAAGGACTTAATTCCTTCTAGAACACAATTTTCTTAATGAATCTTGTTACACACATCTGTAATTTATTCACTGGCTGTGCTTTTAGCTATATCTTTCAATGTGTACCTATGAGGCATATCACACAAACATTTAACATAGAATTAAGTTTTTAAGAACATACAAAGTATTTCTGACATTATATTTATTATTAAGCTTAGGTAATTATAAACAAGCAAGCAAATAGGAATGAGGATCTTACCATTATTTGTTGTTTTAACTGATGTAGTTCAAGTTTTATTTTCTAAAAACACATTAAAAAGAAACAAATCAATGATATGTTTAGAAGGTTAGAAGGAAAAGAAAACTTGGTAATAAACTAATATTAGAATATGTACTTATGCACAAGGTCTTCCCTCATTCAATGCAAAGCGACTACATTCAGAATACAACGATGGCTGAAAAGTCTCCATCGGAGAAGTGATTACTTATCATGCCAGGAAGGTGCAATTTTTTTAACATACACATTTGCCTTCAGAGACCTTGCTTTATTGAATACATACTTTACATTTTTTTTTTTTTAACTAAATGCCCTCAAACAGCTTATGTGAAGAGTAATTCTGAGAGTTTCAAACTTTATCATTTTCTAGGAAAAGAAAGCATCTTTGCTAGAAGGTTTCTTGCAAGACTAACAAACTGGTAATAAATGAGCTTCCTTTATGGGATTCCAATAGGACTAACACAAGGAAGATGTAGACAGCATTTATTTAAACGCTGATCCCATGACACACTTTAAGAAACTAAGGGCTATTTTATAGCTGCATTTATTCATAATAACCAAACACTGAAAATAATTCTAATATGAATCATAGTAAAATGTGGCATATTCCCAATACCACAGACAATGAAAAAGAATGACCTACTGCTGCAAGACACACTGAAGATCCCATCAGTTCAAGTTCTAGAATGGGCAAAACTAGTCAATGGTGACTCGTGGCCACCTCTGGGGTGCTGGTAATGCTCTACTCTGACTGATACTGCACACTTTGTGATGATTCATTAAGTTATACTCTTACTTGTGCACTTCTGTTTATGTACATTATATCTCTATGTCTGAATATGAAGCATTTTATAAAGGTAAGTGGCTGTTTAGGTTTACCTCATTTTCTGCTCTGAGGGCTGAAAATTCACTCTTCTCCAAAATAATCATATCTTTTTTCACGTTAGAAATCTGAGACATTATTTGCTGAAGAGTGACCTCCTAGGAAAAGGAAAAACAAACAAACAAATAACTTAATGTAGTCTAGAAAGTCCACTTCCTATTGTTTCTACCTGGTATCACCTTAATGAGAAACAAGATGAATATGGACACAAGGAAAGAAGTTTCTCTCTTCCAAAATGAGAAAAGAAAAAGAATAAAAACTCAAGTCCAGTATCATCAAGTGGATTACAGTTAAAAGGGTGGCAGTCTGAGGACCACTGGCTCAAAAACACACTGCTATAATTTTGGCCACATCTCCATTTATTAAAGCACTAGTGGCCCGGTGCACGAAATTCATGCACTCAGGGGGAGGTCTCTCAGGTTGGCCTGTGCCCTCTTGCAGTCCAAGAGGCCTTGGGGGATGTCCAAATGATAACTTAGGCCCACTCCTCACGTGAGCCTGGCTTCTGGCTGAGTGGTGCTCCCTCCTACATTGAGTGTCTTCCCCCTGGTGGTCAGTGGGTGTCATCACAACTGGTTGTTCCACCGTGGGGCTGAAACCGACTCTCCGACATCCCCAAGGGTCCTGGATTGTAAGAGGGTGCAGGCCAGGCCAAGGGACTCCACTAATGCATAATTGGGGCCGGCGAGGGACCCGGGATGTTGACCAGCCAAGGAAGGACCGCGGGAGGGTTCCAAGGCATGTCTGGCCTGTGTCGCTCAGTCCTGATCGGCCAGACCCCAGCAGCAAGCTAAGCTACGGGTCAGAACATCTGCCCCCTGGTGGTCAGTGCACATCATAACGAGTGGTTGAGCATTATCATTAGCATATTATGCTTTGATTGGTTAAACAGAAGACCAGACGACCAAACATTTAGCATATTAGGCTTTTATTATATAAGATGGCGAACTGAAACAGTTTTCAAACAGAGACTTCTCAAGCAAAGTGAATTTCTAGCATAATGATTTGATTCTACAAGAGTTTACTAAATAGTTTTGAGTAAATACTTTTTATGCCCTGCAATAATTAGCCTCTCAATTACGATAAAAATTAACTACACGCTTTTCAATAGGACATTATCCAAAAATATTTATTATAAGTGACATCTTCCTTTTAGATTTCAAATTTGCAAAAGTGCCCTGACAAAGCTAACCTGTTGCATCTTGGTGACCATGTCTTTGTAGACGATACCCATGTTGGCCTCCGTGATCTTCACCAATGCAGATACAATGATTTCTGCTTGTTGAGTAGTAAACCCTAAGCAAATACACAAAGACAATCACACTCAGGAGACTCTAGCTGTCAAAGGAAAGCCTTCATAGAAAGGGAGACAACAAAAAGTTACACACGGAGCAAATGTCTGAACTTGAGAAGCAGCTGGAAAGAGGATGAGGTAGGCGAATGAGGAGACTACAGTCACAGGCTGCTACGTACGTGTCTGTCATCTGGACAAGTATGACACGTCTGAGGGTTTCCTCGTGTGAACTGGGCAGTGGGGCTACCTGCTCTCTAACGCCCATCTGCACTGTCAAACACCATATTTTCAGAAAATGTCTAACAACATAGGGGATACCTGTCATGCAAGGTCAAATAAAAAAAAGAAAGACTCAATATTATAGATACAATTTACCACTTTTGTGATTTAACAAAAATTCTAGATTAATTTTTATTTTCTTCAAGGGACGTGACTTCCTTGATTTTAAAATGTATATTTAGCAAAAATAATTTACTTAGGTAGAAAAGCTCATTTGTTTTATATCTAGCATAAATCAAATTATTGACTATGGAAATTATAATTTTGCTGTTAATTAAATGTTCAAAGATAATGTTAAAATAAATTATTTCATTTTTTTCTCCACAGTTCTCTTCAGTCACTAGTGATGGGCCCACACTGGAAAATATATACTTTGATACTTAAGAAATGATGCTGAATTGAATTATATAAAGATTTGACTCAGCAGTATTACTGTTTTTAATAACTTTAGATAGTAATTTATATCTTACATTGGAAATGCTAATATGATGTTTAAAACTAAGTCCCTGGAAAGTAATTCTTCCTATTAAATATGTCCATCTATAAGAATTTCAGAAGAATCTATTGATTCTTTTTTTTTTTTTTTTTACTCCTCACCTGAGGATATTTTTCCATTGATTTTAGATAGAGTGGAAGAGGGAGAAAAAGGCAGAAATATCGATATGAAAGAAACACATTGATTGGTTGCCTCTTGCATGCACCAGACTAGGGCCTGGACCGGGGAGGAGCCTGCAACTGAGGTAACATGTCCTTGTCAGGAATCAAACCTGGGACCCTTTGGCCTGGGTGACGCTCTATCCACTGAGCCAAATTGGCTAGCGCTCTACTGATTCTCATCATTAATTAATGGCACATTTGTTTGAATAAAGTTATAGTTGATATAATATGGATGAGATTAAGCATAGGATCATAATAAAAAAACAACAACAAGGCACAGCCCAGGTGGTGTGTGCCTCAGTGGTTAAGCATTGACCTATGAACCAAGATGTCACGGTTTGATTCCCAGTCAGGGCACATGCCAGGGTTGAGTGCTCAATGCCCATGAGGGGGTGTGCAGGAGGCAGCTGATCAATGATTCCCATCACTGATGTTTCTATTTCTCTCTCCTTCTCCCTTCCTCTCTGAAATAAATAAAAAAATATATTTTATTTATTTTTAATCCTAAAAAATGGGCAAAGGACCTAAATAGATACTTCTCCAAAGAGAACATACAGATGGTCAAGGGACATATGAAAACATGCTCAAAGTTACTGATCATCAGAGAGATGAAAATAAAAATGACAATGAGGTATCACCTCACATCTTGTCAGAATGGCTATCATCAACAAATCAACAAACTACATGTGCTGGTGAGGATGTGGAGAAAAAGGAACCCTCATTCACAGACTGGTGCATCCATTGTGGGAAACAGTATGGAGTTTCCTCGAAAAATTAAAAATAGGATTCTCACTTGACCCAGTAATCCCACTTCTAGGAATATATCCCAAGAAATGAGAAACACCAATCAGAAAGAATATATGTATTCCCATGTTCACAGGAGCACAATTTACAATAGCTAAGATTTGGAAATAGCCTAAGTGCCCATCAGCATGTGAGTGTATTAAAAACTGTGGTATATCTGGAATGGAATACTATGCTGGTGTAAAAAAGAAAGAACTCTTATAATTTGCAACAGCATGGAGAGACAGTATTGTGCTAAGTGAAATAAGTCAGTTCAGAAAAAGACAGTATCATGTGATCGCTCTCACATGTGGAATCTAACATAATGAGATTTGGCAATTATAAAGAAAATAAAAATAGAGACTGGAAAAGACTTTCAGTGATAATAAAAAGCAAATAAATTCCAAAGCCTTAAAATTTAACAAGCACCTGTGGAAGGTGAAAGGGAATAAGGAAAAGCAGAAGCCTGGAAACCTGCTGAGCTATCAGATGCAAATTATTTTTTGTAGGAATGAGAGAATAAGACACATCCGGATTAGTATAGACAAAGCAAGTTTTGTTAACCGGGAGACATAACTGAAGAAAAAAAGGATAAAGGAGGGAATATTCCTTGAAGAGTTCTTCCTGGCCTCACCCTAACCGAGACAACTTACACACCCACCACTGATCTCAGCATGGTCATACCCTACACACACTTCAGTGGGGCCTTCCCGTCGCTGATCTTGAAATATGCAAATTTTCATGGGCCACGGTTTGAAACCAAGAAAAGCAGAAAGGACATACTCCAAAACATCATATTTTTAACCTATGCAATTTCTGTCTAAATAAACAAATTTTGAAAGAGGGAGAGGGGCAATAAACCCCACCTCTCATTGAGAGGATAGAAAGGTGGCCATCTGGAGTCCACTGCAGCTACCTTCCATTGTTCCACGTAACAAAATCACCAGTGCTCCCTTAATGCCATCAAATACTACCTAGTGGATACTGAAATGTCCCCATTGTCTCTAATATCTCTTTTTACCATTGGTTACTTTGAATACAAACACAAAGCCCCCAAAAAAGAATAAGAAAAAAACTAGGAATACTGCTGTTCATCAAGATAATTTTAGATGGTCCTCTTCCACTTTTCTTTTTGGCCAATGAAAGAAGTTTCCAGTGAAAATGGCCTATTATTTCAAGTTTGAGAAGAAAATGGTTGCCAAAATTATTATACAGCATTTGACATTTTTTCCAGAGTACACTTAAGTACATTATTTCATTTAATATTTAAAAGGCTCTTTGGAAAAAAATAGAAAAAAAAAAAAAAAGTAAAAGGTTCTTTGGAGCCTAGCTGGTGTGGCTCAATGGTTGAGCCTACGCACCAAGAGATCACAGGTTCAGGGCACATGCCCGGGTTGTGGGCTTGATCCCTGGTAGGGGCATGCAGGAAGCAGCTGATCAATGTTTCTCTCTCATAGATGTTTCCATCTGTCTCTAAAATCACTTTAAACATTTATTTTTTAAAAAGGTTCTTTGGAATTCTTATTATGCTCATGCCATCAGAGCTTCTAACTGTCCAGAGGAACATAATTCATTCCATCACCTTGACCTGGGAATCTACAGAGGGCAGCTTTTCACATTCAATCATTCACAGTTGGGTAAATAACTATACAATAAAGTAAAAGCACATATATTTATTTCCAAGGCATAACCTATGATATATGAGTTTTTGATTTTGAGAATATATGTGTCACAGTATTGGTGTATTTGTCTTGATAAGATTAAATATAAGAATGTTATCTTGCCGGGACTGGTTTGGCTCAATGGATAGAGCGTCGGCTTGGGGACTGAAGGGTCCCAGGTTCGATTCCGGTCAAGGGCATGTACCTTGGTTGCGGGCACATCCCCAGTAGGGGGTGTGCAAGAGGCAGCTGATCAATGACTCTCTCTCATCGATGTTTCTAACTCTCTATCTCTCTCCCTTCCTCTCTGTATAAAATCAATAAAATATATTAAAAAAAAAAAAAGAATGTTATCTATATATTAAGTGCACTTTTAACAAAATTCAGAGCAATCATTTACATTAATGAATGCAAGAGCAGTAAGGGAAAATGTTAGGTGGAATATTTTTTTTTAAAGGATACAATGTGTTACTGCTCAGCAACATTTTAATTTCATAAAAATTGTAAAAGCACATAAGATGCATTAATAAAATAACACTTTTGTGCTTCAGATAGTCATCATAAGAACCACTCCTGAGTTTTGCTGACTTGTGTCCAACTTTTTATCTTTAATGCTGTACTTCTGGAGTGATGTTAAAAGAATACGCTTCACTTGGGCAGACTGTGTGAGAAAATTTCTATTGTACTGATGAAGCAAAAATGTCCTTCAACAGAAAATGAGAACTTAAGAAATGGAGACTGACCAAAAGATTACTTGTAGATTTAAAAGTCAAAAAGAAATAAGATGAAACCGTAAGAGAAGTCATAATTTATTGTGTTCTTCTATGGCACTGAGTGACCAAAGAAAGAGGATTACCATTTTCTTCGAGTAAACACACTAAGGCATGAGTGTCAAAGTAGAGCTTCCTACTCCCAGAGGAGGTGAAATCTCCGCGTTTGTGCTCCAACTGTAGGCACCCAGCAGAAAGGCTTAGCTCTAGAACAGAAAGGACAATAAAGTTTAAAAAACAGACATAATGGTAAACAAAAGCAACTCAGCAATGTGAAAAAAATCAGTCATACCTCAAAAGCCTGTTTGTTTTTTCACGAGAGTTTTACTGAGCTATAATTCACATACTACTATACAACTCACCCATTTCAAGTACACAATTTGATTGTTTTTATTATATAATAGAGACCCAGTGCACGAATTCGTGCATGGGTGGGGTCCCCCAGCCTGGCCTGCGATTGGGGCCATCTTGCCCAGTCCCGATCTGGACCAGCCGGACATGGGAGAATGGCCGTGGGAGGTTGGCCCGCTGTGGGAGGTTGACTGTGGGAGCACACTGACCACCGGGGGCAGCTCCTTCATTGAGAAAATCCCCCCCGGTGGTCATAGTGACTAGTCAACCAATTGTTTGGTCATGACAGTCACTTAGGCTTTTATATATATAGAATCAAAGTTGTGCAAGCATCCCCACAATCAACTTTAAAGCACTGTCATCATCCCCAAAAGAAGCCCTATACCCAAACTCGCAACACTCTCACTCCCAGGCAAACACTGATTTACTTTCTGTCTCCGTGGATTTGCCTCCTCTGGATACTGCATATGAACAGAATCATAAGATATGTGATATTCTATACTGGTTTCTTTCATCTAGCATGGCGTTTTCAAAGTTTATTCACCTTGTAGTATGTGTCAGTACCATGTTTCTTTTTATTGTCAAATACTATTCCATTGTATAAATATATCAATTTTATTTAACCTATTCATTAGTTGAAGGACATTTGAGTTGTTTCTTCTTGGCTATTTCGAATGTTGATGCTATGAACACTGGTATGTAAGTTTTTGTGTAAACATGTTTTCAGTTCTCTTGGGTACATATTTAGGAGTGGAGCTGCTACACCATACAGTAACTTTATGTTAAACCTTCTAAGGTTATGCCAAACTGTTTTCCAAAGTGGCTGCACCTTTTCACATTCCCAACTGCCATGTATGAGGGTTCCAATTTCTACACATCTTCAAAACTTGATACTATCTATTTTATTATAGTCATCTTAGCGGGTGTAATGTGGTATCTCATTGTAGTTTTGATTTGCATTTCCCTAATGGCTAATGATGTTGAGCATATTTCAATGTGCTTATTGGACACTTGTATATCTTCTTTGGAGAAATTTCTATTCAGATCTTTTGCCTATTAAAAAAATTGGGTTATCTTTTTTATTGCTGAGTTGTAAGAGTTCTTTATACATTTTAGATACATGTTCCATGTTATATGTGTGTGTGTGTGTATATATATATATATATATATATATATATATATATATATGATTTCATACATTCTCTCCCATTCTGTGAGTTGTCTTTCACTTTCTTTGTAGTGCTTCTTGAAGCACAAAAGTTTTTTATTTGAATGAAGCCCAATTTATATTTTTTCTTTTTGTTCCTTGTGCTTTTGGTGTCATATCTAAGAAACTATTGGTTAATTCAAGTACACAAAGATTTACATCTATGTTTCCTTCCAATTATTTTACAATTTTAGCTCTTACATTTAGGTCTTTGATCCATTTGTGTTAATATTTGTATATGTTGTAAGATGGAAGTTCAACTTCATTCTTTTGAACAATGTGGGTGTCCACTTGTCCCAGCACTATGTTCTCCCTTAAATTGTCCTGTGACTCTGGTAATAAAAAATCAATGGACAATAATGTGAGGGCTTATTTTTGGGTCTTCCATTTTATCCCACTGGTCTATACTAGTATGTCTGTTCTTATACCAGTGCCACATTTTCTTGATTACTGTGCAGTAAGTTTCAATATCAGGAAGTGAATCCTCTAACTCTGTTCTTTTTCAAGACTGCTTTTGTCTATTCTGAGTCCCTTGCATTTCCATATGAATTTTAGGGTCAGATTTTCAATTTCTGCAAAGAAGGCACCTGAAACTTTGGATAGAAATTGTGTTAAATCTGTAGATAAATTTGGGGGAATACTGCCATCTTAACAATATTAAAGTCTTCCAATCCACGCACATGGAATGTTTTTCCATTTATTTATGTCTTTAATTTCTTTAATAATGTTATATAGGTTTCAGAGTACAAATTTTATGTTCTTTTATTAAATTTAGCACTGTTTTATTCTTTCTGATGCTACTATAAAGGGAATTCTTTTTTAGATTTTTCAGATAGTTCCTTTTTAGTGTGTAGAAATAAAACTGATTTTTGTATATTTTAAAAATATATTGAGCTTGTATCTTGCTGAACTTATTAGCTCCAATAGTTTTTTAGTGAATTCCTTAGAGTTTTCTATGTACAAGATCGTCACCTGTGATTTACTTCTTCCTTTACAATCTGAACGCTTTTACATTTTCTTGCCTAACTGCCCTGGTTAGAAATTCTAGTACTGTGTTAAATGGAATGATGAGAGCAGACATTCTTGCTCCTGACCTTAGAGGGGAAGCATTGTCTTTCCCCATTAAGTAGGCTAGCCATGGGTTTTTCACAGCCACCCTTTATCAGGTGAGGCAGTTCCCTCCTAGTCCTAATTTGTCAAGTGGTCTTTTTTTTTTTTTTTTTTTTTTTTTTTTTTAAATCATGAAGGGGTGCTAAATTTTTTCAAATTCCTTTTCTTTGTATTTTGAAATGGTCATGTGGTTTCTCTCCTTTATTTGGTTAATAAGGTGCATTACATAAATTGATTTTCAGATACTAAATGAACTTGGTACTAATGGGGCAAAATCCCATCTGGTCATGGTGTATACTCCTGCTATGTATTGCCAGATTTGGTCTGTTAGTATTTTTTTTTTTTTTAATCCTTATTTACAAGAGACATTGGTCTGTCATTTTCTTTCCCTGTGATGTCTTTGCAAAAGCCCATTTTTGGAGAGATGAATTCTAACAATTTGTATATTACCATTTTTATGAATTTCTGTACACATAACCACAGATCCAACCTGTTTTGTATACTTATTTCAAAGTACTCATTTGAAGGAGGTGGCATAGTAATGGCTTCCTGGCTTTTGTATTTCATGAACCACAATAATAGTTTTTTGTTTGTTTGTTTGTTTGTTTGTTTTTTTTAATGGAACAACTGCAGTGTCAATTTGTAATTTTGCCAAAGAGGACATTTAAATGTAATAGCTCCTTACTATTATAATCAAACTAAAAAAGACATTGTGATAGCAAACGAAAGAAAAAAAAGAGATGGACAACATAAAATAAAAATCCTCCATTTAAATGTAATAAACACAGATAAGTAATTCTTGCTACATATTTGTTCTTACTTTTCAATGATGCCAGGTGTTGTAGAAGAATGGTAGAAGAGAGAACAGTCATCTACTAACTCAAAGTTCAAAGTTTTCTCAGTAGATCTCCTAAATGACCAGAAAGATACTTCAGCTAATCAACTCCTATTCTCAGCCTTACACACTCTAACAGACACTGCAAAGTAAGCAAAATGATGACATGGACAGGACCCCACGGATCTGATTCTTCTCTGTAAGCCTAGAACAGTGGTTCCCAACTTACTGGAGACTTGGAAGAGCGTGATTGCTGTGGTCATAGTCAGCATCAAGTAAGATCAAGAGTCAATCATCACTCTGTAGCACACAGTTTGCAGACTGACAAAATATAAAATGCAACAATTGTCTATCTGTGTTTAATGGTTAAAAGGGACCCTTAGATTCAAAGGATCACTAGCCAGACTATACTCTAAAGTCCTTAGCAAAGCACACAAAGCCTGTGCCACACACTTACCTTTTCAGCTTTCTGCTAGCCACCTAAGCTATTCTGTTTCCTGAACTTTCTTTCATACTTTGGTATCCAATCCTGAAGTGTGGTTTGGTGCCCTTCCTCAACTGGTAAATTTTGAACACCTTCTTTACCCCCTTCATTTAATTTGACAACTTCCCAAGTCTTCATTATGTCCTGGTTATGATTATACAGTGTACAGTTCTCTCTGCCAACCCCACCCAGGTCAGGGAGCAGCCTTTATTGCTCCCTTATCTGTGTTCTCAGCTCAGTACAGATGGCTCTATCATAGCACTTGTTATATTACTTCCATATCTGTATCAACTGTGAGTCCACAACCCAAGAGCAGCCAATCTTAGTCATTTTGTATTGTTAGCATCTAACAGAGGGCCTTCCATACTGCAGGACAACGATAATTATTAAAAACAAAAATTCAATTGTATGATTTCTAAGATCTGGTTCATGAGAAAAATTTGAGATCAACTCTTTTCTCCTCTTAACCTATTGTCTTCCCTTTTTATATAGATGAGTACCTCTTTTTTGTTCCCTTTTTTTCTATTTATAAAGGGAGGTGGAGAGTCACACCGTGCCTCTGCAGGTACACTCAGAAATGGCACCTACCCCTTCTACTCATATTTTATTGGCCAAATCAAGTCACAGAGGTCGGGAAGGAGAACCCAAAACATTCAGTGAACAGCTCGACAATGTTACCCCTTTTCTTAGTCACAGACCCCACCCTGCTTTAATGCTCTACACTGCACTGCTCCCTGCTGGATATTATAGTTACTTGTTTTTTTGTTTGCCTTCTCCTCCTAAATCTAAGCTCTGCAAGGTCAGGGTGTGCCTGGTTTTGTTCACTACGTACCTGTAGCACTAAGGACAATACTTTGTATACAATAGGCACTCAAATAACTTGTAGTCACATGGGTCAGTAGTAACACAAATAGTTAATATCTAAAGGTACTTACCAAGTGCCCCACAATGTGCTACGATAAATGCTGTTTGTGCAGTAACTCATTTGATCCTCAGCTCAATCCTATGGGGGATATCTGTCTATTATGACCTCATTTTCCATATAAGAAATATAAGACTCAGGGAGGTTGAGACTCTTGCCCAAGGTCACACTGCCAGTTAGTGGGCACAGCTAGCCTTTTGACCTCTGAGAAGCCCTGCTGGGCCCAGCCACTTACGATTAGGGGGCAGAATCATGATGTCTATGCACATAGCTGAGTGTCCACCACATGTGGGGGCAGGGCTTGGGAGCCTGCTCAGAGACAGAGTAACACTGGCAAAAATAATAAGGTTGTCACTAATTATTAGGTGACAGATACCTTGCTAAAGGAGGCACATCAGATTATATGCTCACAAAAATCACAGGAGCAAGTGTTGCTCTTTGCCTATGGTCTCTCTTTTTCACATAAGTGAATGTCTCTTTTTTCATTCTTAATCTCCAGTCCTGGGACAAAAATTGGTCTCATGAGAAGAGAACCCAAATGTCTGCTGACACAAAACAGACCTAGCTCTAAAAACATTGGGTGGGTGAATGAATGAATGAATGAATGCACCTCTCCAGGGGCTCTCTACAGGCTACCCCATCCATCATAGAACTGTTCATGACTTTAATGGGTTAGGGAGCTTGAAAACACTGGAGTGTAGCAGCTGGCTTATGAAGAGTGACAGGATTAGTCTACTCTTGATTTCCTTGTTTCTAATAACAAAATAATCTGCCCCCCCCCAAACAAAACAAAATTATTATTTTCTAAGCAAGAGCCAATTCCAACTTAGATACTGCCAATTTCCCCCCCAAAAAAAGTATTGGGAATTTATTTCAGTTGCAAGCTTATTTCAAACAAATATTGTCATCTGAGAAGTGGAGAAAAGGGCTGGCCACTTCCCAGTTGGCCGTCCAGCCCCTGCTGATAGAAAGTGAATGCCAGTTTGCTTTCTGTCAAATGGTAACAGCAATACTCAGACATCCAGAACACAACACCTCTGACTCACTTTTCCTCTTTTATTGTGATAACAAAACAGGGCCTAAGAACTATAAATTCCTACTTATAACCAGGAAGCAAGTAAACTGAGCTATTTTAAAGTGTAATTTGAAATTCTCCTTTGGGGGACCTTCAGTATATCAAAAGGATAATAAAAAACACACAAAAGAAGCCCAGTTACCCTTGACCAGAGGAGGGAACCAAGTACAAATTTCCTACCTGTGATATCCTAAGTAGCCCTACTTAGAACCTTTGGCACCAAACAAACCATTTGGCTGAAGACAAAGGAACAAAACTCTCATTTACTCATGGGCAATGGGCACACATGATTCCTTAACTGTCTTGGCTGTGTTTCCCCATAGTATTTATGAATCCATCCACACTGTGAAGAATGACATAATCTGAGACTAAAACAACATTACTACCTTGCTTGTCAGAAAACTGATGAGAAAGAACACTCTCTCCTTTGCCCCATAATCTTGAGTTTTTAGAGGAAAATAAATCACGTTTCCAGCTTGTCAAAAAAGAGACCCACAGGCAAAGCACAGAAATAAAGTTAAAAGCCATCTCTAACTCAAAATTACTGCAGGACACTGACAGAGTTCATTCACTACTCATTTGCCAACCACCATATGTCAAGCTTGGTTCACTTTGTTGCTCTATCAGTTTCTTCCCCAGCCAAAGGTATTCTTAAATTTTAGATGCAGCCAACATTTACTGGGCGTTTCTACTGGGCAAGGTGGGTGTGGGAGCTACCAGAGTGGTTACTGAAAAGTATAGTCTCCCAAAGTGATATTTTGGCCAAGTTTGCTAATTAGCATTACCTAAAATGATGACATTTTTAATCAACAATTTGCTACCTAGTAAATTGAACCTGTTTAGATTGCCTTAATCTCACGTAGGACAGTGACTGCTCTCATCCCCTTCAAGCATTTAGCCACCTTCTCAATGAAACCTATTCTGATGATGCTATTAAATTCATAACTGGAGGCCCATCTCAGTTCCTAACCCTTACCACCTCTATTTTTCCTTTAGTATTTATCCATTATGTACATATAAATATCCTATGTGCATATGTAAATTGTATATGTATACAAAATTATATCTATATCTATTTAAACATATGTGTGTATCATCTCCTCTGCTAGAATTAAGCTCCAAGAAGTGTGGACATGCTAACCTAACAAGTTCAGGGAAGGCCTGCATGGCGATCTGCAAACTCAAGAGACCTAAGTAACCACAGAGGATGGTTTGAAATTAAACTTTAACTAAAAGCAGTTATGGTGGGTAGTTACATCCTAGGCTGGTATCTTCACTGACAACACCAGCCTTTATCTTAGCTGAGCCTGTCTTTTTTCATCTATAAAACATACTCTTGAAATATCTGGGTAACTTGTAACTTCCCTTTTTCTGGACCCCCCTGAGTCACAACCTAAAGTGCCTGGACTCCAGGACAGATACTACAAATTCCTTCATTGTTATGTTAATTGTTCCTGAACCCACTTGAGTAAGTGTCTATCATTTTACTTTTTACCCTGCTTTGCTTTCTCCCACTTCTCTAGTCTATCACCAATGGATTTCATGTAACCCACCTATGTCCTTTTCCATTGATTGTAATGTATAAATACAGATGTAGCCCCCCATTCTCTGAAGCATTATCTCAACTGCTTCCTGGCATATGTCAACAGTTTGGCTCAAATGAACTCACAAAGATTCTTTACAGGTTTCAATGTTTTTTGTTTTTTTTTTACGTTAACAGAAGGAAGGCATTTTGTTGACTGATAGATCCCAAGTATCTAGGAAAGTACCAGGCGGCATAGAATAGGAGCTAGTGCTTAACTGAAGGAAACAAGGAACCCATTCGAATTTAAACTTAAATTGTAAAACAGTCCCTTCAATTCCCAGAGTTCTGCTTCTCAAACGTGCAAGCCTTCCGCACACCCTTCATCAGAGTTGCTGGCCAAACAGCAGCCTGTACGCTAGCGCCCACGTGGTAGCTCTGGACAGGGGCGTGCACAAACTCACTGCCCGGGCACGCACCACCTCTCCGCATCCCGTTTCAATTTTGCGCCCAAACCCTAGGGCAAGCATTCCGAGTAATTCAGAACTTCTCAGCAGGATACCGAGGACCAGAAGAAGGGCGGGGCCAGACAGACCTCCCTAGGAGCCTGGTGACCTCAAGTGGCCCGACCTCTGGCTCCCTTGGCCTCCCCGGGAGGTCAAAACCAAAGCCCCTCCCCGCCCCACCGTCCCAGCCGCACGGGGCGAGCCCCCTCTCCTCCCACCGCCCGAGCCTACCTCTCCGGGTGGCAGCGAGGGCGGGCACTCGGCCCTGGCACTGGTGCAGGGGGCCCGCGGCGCAGGCGACGCCCGGGACGAGGCCGGGCTGGCACCTCCACGCGCAGCAGCGCCCGGCGGGGGGAGCCGAGGGCCCCAGGCGCGCGCGCTCCCGCTCTCCCGGCGGCCGGCGCGGGGCGGCGGCGGCCCGGCGCGGGACCGGCACCTGCACCAGGAGGCACAGCGCCGAGGCACGTGACGCGGCGCGGGCCGCGGGGGCGCCGGGGCCCAGTGCCTCCAGACCCTGGGCGAGCGCGGACAGGCAGCGACGCGCCGGGACGCCGCCCGGGCTTCCGCAGCGGCTGGCGAGTAAGAAGAGCAGAAACCGCCGGCGGTCCGGCGGGCGCTTCGGCCCCTCTCCCGAGACGGAGCCGCCGTCCATCCCGGAGGCTGTCACTGGCCCGGGCGCGCGCGCATGGCGTCCTCCGCGCGCGGCGCCGGTCACGGGCGGCGCCGGCCCGAATCCGAAGGCAGGACGCTGCGCCGCGGCGCCGGCGGCCCTTTCAGCCGGGTGGGCGGGGCTCCGGGCGCGCGCGCCGAGAGTGGGCGTGGCTAGGGCGGGGGCGGGGCTGCTCTCCGTTTCCGCGCGCGGGAGGCGAGCCCCGCCCCTCTGAGTACGTTGATCCGGAGAACTGAGGTGTGGCCGCGGGCGTTCCCGGGCACCCGAGGGAGCCTGTGCGGCCAGATTTGCATATTTATTGCACTGGTGTCCCTGCAGGGAAATTCACCGTGCGGGTGCCCTTCAGACTTCGGTGAAAAGTCCCTGCATCACCAGGCTGCCCTCGATGTTACCCTCCCCGTTCGAAGTCCTCCAGAGTATGACTTGTGGATGCATTTTAAGGAATTATTAACAGGGCTAAGGGAAGGACCTGTATCCATAGTCGTCAATACATTTAAAGGCTAAACGCTCAGCGCTTTTACTTCCGGATTAGTGCACCCTAGAAATGAGGAAGCCTCAATCTGGAAATGTAAAACGCGGGGCAAGGATGGTGAAGGCGACCCGCTGGTACAATAAAAGGATATCTGAAACGAAGGGTGCTCAGTTCAGTGAACGTCATGAATGCCCGCAGAACCTATCTCAGGTACTGGTCCATTGTGCGAACTCAATAGATGTTCCTTGAGCGAGTGAATGACATGCACTAGGCTAGGGGTGTCGAACTCAATCAGAGAAGGGGCCAAAATCTAAAATCCAGCCTAAATCGCGGGCCGAATGGTTTACTGAACAGTCATAAACTGTCGTTGGGCCTGGCGGGACGGATTTGGCCCGTGGGCCTTGTGTTTGACACATGTGCACTAGGCACTAGGCCAGGAGATAAGAAAAATGAGGTTGTTCTTGACCTTCACAAGTTATTTTCTTATACACCCTTAGTGTACACATACATGAGCCATAAGAGTACTCTCTTTGATAAGATAGAAAGTGCCTTGTGGAAGGGATGTAAATGGTTATCAAATTACAAAGAATTAAAAAATATATATTAAGATGCAAATAGACACGTTCGTGAAAGGTTAGTAGGGCCCTAGTTGGTGCGGGAGGCAACCAATCCATGTGCCTTTCCCCTTTCCTTCCACTCTCTAAAAATGAATGGAAATTGGTCAACATGAACATAAAGGTTTTAAGTATATTGCACCATGTGCCACCGCCCAAAGTAAAATCTCCTGTCACCATACATTAAGACCTCCTTCTCCCCAACACCCTTCCCTCTGGCAACCACCACACTGCTGTTTGTGTCCACAAGTTTCAGTTTTATATCCCACATGAGAGAAATCATATGGTTCTTCTGACCCATATACTTGTTCTGACTGACTTATTTCACTGAGCATAATATTCTCAAGGTTCATCCATGATTTTGCAAATGACAGTATTTCATTTTTTCCTATTGTTGTGGGGTCGAACCCTAGAATCAAAAATAAGACCACTGGAGGCTGCTAATTGATTAAGAAAAGCAGGCAAGGATTTATTGAACTGGCCAGGATGGCCGTGAGAGCACCACACATAGGTGGAGTCCACACTCATGACCTCGCTGTTCCAGATGTAGGCAGTCCTTTTAAAGGTCTAGACCACAAGAATTTCCCTTTGTTCTAAATTCTAAATTCTAAAGGTTGGGAACAGTCCGCAGGGTGGTTCCCAGCCACATCCTGCTTGACATTGGAATGTGAACCTATCTTGTGGTAGCAGATAGTATAGAAAAAGACCTGAGCAAAGTTAATCTCTAAAGGTTATCTGCAGTTTCAACTCCTGGAGCTACTGAGTCAATGGGAATCAATCTGTGGTTCTGGTCCACCGGCAGGTAACTACCCTATTGTTTAAGTAAGTGAGTGCAACAGCCGGAATAGCAGTGTTAAAATTCAAACAGCAGTTTTTACCTAAGTATGGTTGCTACTATACTTCATCATGACTGTGTAGTATCCATTGTGTATATGTACCACATCTTTATCTAGTCTTCTATCACAGGACACTTTGGTTGTTTCTATGTCTTGGCCACTGTGAATAATGCTGCAATGAACATAGGGGTATGCATACTTATGTGAATACATGATTTCAAGTTTTTTGGGTATATACCCAGGAGAGGGATTACTGGGTCGTATGGTAGCTCTATTCTCAATTTTTTGAGGAATTGCCCGACTGCTGTCCATAGTGGTTGTACCAGTCTACATTCCCACCACCAATGAATGAGGGTTTCCTTTTTCCCACAAGCTCTCCAACACTTACTATTGCTTGTCTTGTTAATAATGGCCACTCTAACAGGGGTGAGGTGGTATTCCCTTGTAGTTTTGATTTGCATTTGCCTAATTTCTAGTGAGGCTGAACATCTTTCATATATCTATTGGCTGTTCATATGTCTTCTTGGGAGAGGTGTAGTTTCAGGTCCTCTGCTCACTTTTTGGTTTTACTGTTTGGTGCTGAGTTTTATAAGTTCTTTATATATTTTAGAAATAAACCTTTGTCAGAGCTACTATTTGTAAATATCATCTCCCATCTGGTTGGCTGCCTCTTTGCTTTGTTGTCTTTTTCTGTGCAAAAGCTTTTAAGTTTTATATAGTCCCACTCATTTATTTTTGCCTTTACTTCCCTTGCCTTTGGGGTGAAGTTCATAAAATGTTCTCTATGACCAAGGTCCATAAATTTGTTACCTATCTTTTATTCTATGTAACTTATTGTTTCAGATATAATGTTAGGTCTTTGATGCATTTTGAATTAAGTTTTGTACATGGGGACAAACTATAATCCAGTTTCATTAGTTTGCATGTGGCTTTCTAGTTTTCTCTGCACCATTTATTGAAGAGACTATCTTTATTCCATTGTGTGTTTCTGGTTCCTTTGTCAAAAATTACCTGTCCTGCCGAAACCGGTTTGGCTTAGTGGTAGAACGTCGGTATGCGGACTGAAAGGTCCCAGGTTCGATTCCGGTCAGGGGCATGTACATTGGTTTCGGACATAACCCCGGTAGGGGGTGTGCAGGAGGCAGCTGGTCGATGTTTCTCTCATCGACGTTTCTAGCTCTCTGTCTCTTTCCCTTCCTCTCTGTAAAAAATCAATAAGATATATTTTAAAAAATTATCTGTCCATATACATGTTTTTATAGCTGGGCGATCTATACTAATGTCACCCTAATAAATTTAATAAATAAATAAAAATAAACAAATTAGCCTGCTAAAAACTGATGTAAAAATATCTTCAGGTGAAGATATGGACTTGTCATTTTTACACATGGAAATATTGAATTGGTAATTTCATATGAATCAACCTAATATACTAAGATATTTATTCTATTGTAATATATGATTATGACAAAGAGGGGAAAAACTAATGTCTATCATTAGAGGAATGGTTAAATAAACTTTTTAAAAAATATATATATATTTTATTGATTTTTTTTACAGAGAGGAAGGGGGAGAGATAGAAAGCTAGAAACGTTGATGAGAGAGAAACATCGACAAACTGCCTCTTGCACAACCCCCACCGGGGATGTGCCCACAACCAAGGTACATGCCCTTGACCGGAATCAAACCTGGGACCTTTCAGTCCGCAGACCGACACTCTACCACTGAGCCAAACCGGTTTCGGCTGGTTAAATAAACTTTATTAATGATAGCCCGTTGTAATTTTAGAAAGTTGAGATAAAATTTGTATATAATAAAAATCTATAGATCTTCAACTTGATGACTAATTTTATATACTCATGTAACCACCACCCAAACAAGATATAGAACATTTTATCACTTCACAAAAGTTCCTCTGTGCTCCTTTCATCCTATCTAATAAAAGAATAATATGCAAATTAACCATCACTCTGCTACACCCTTAAGCCACACCCACAAGCCATGCCCACAAACCAATCAGGAGTGAATATTCAAATAAACCCAACCAAAATGGCTATAGCCACAGAGAGCAGGAGGGAGGCTTGGGTTTCCCAGGCAATGGAGGAAGCCAAGCTTTCCTCCTGCCCTTGCCAGCCTAGGCTTCCATTCAAGGGTACAAAGTTTTAATTATAGAAGGTAAACAAATCCAAACAGAAATGGTGGCAGCCATGGAACTGGAAGAATAGGAGGCTAGTGTTGCCCCCGGCAATGGAGGAAGCCAAGTTTCTGCACACCCTGGCCAACCCAGGCCTCTGCTTAAGGCTATAAAGTTTCAATTATAGAAGATACATAAACCCCAACAAAAATGGCTGCTGCCACAGAGCAAGCAGAAGGCTTGGCTCTGCTCCAGGCTACAAAGTTTCAATTGTAGAAGGTAAATATAAATTTCAGATACCAGGGCTTCTGCTTGGGTCATCAGGGGGCATGGTCAGCCTGCAAATCATCACAGGCCTCTCGCTCAGGCCACCCCATGCCCCAAGGGAACCCCCACCCTAATCCAGGACACCCTTCAGGGCAAACCAGCCAGCCCCCACCCATGCACCAGGCCTCTATCCTATCTAATAAAAGAGTAATATGCAGATTGACCATCACTCTAACACACAAGATGGCTGCCCCCATGTCGTCAACAATCCTGCTCCCATGTGGACACAAGATGGTCACCACAAGATGGCCAGTAGGGGAGGGCAGTTGGGAGGGACCAGGCTGGCAGAGGAGGGAAGTTGGGGGTGACCGAGCCTTCAGGGAAGGGCAGTTAGGGGTGACCAGGCCTGCAGGGGAGGGCAGTTAGGGGCCAACAGGCTGGCAGGGGAGCAGTTAGGCATCAATCAGGCTGGGAGGGGAGTATTTAGGGGTGATGAAACTGGCAGGCAGAAGAGGTTAGGGGCAACCAGGAAGGCAGGCAGGCGAGCAGTTGGGAGCCAGCAGTCCTGGATTGTGAGAGGGATGTCCGACTGCCCATTTAGGCCTAATTCCACTGGGATCAGGCTTAAATGAGCAGTCGAACATCCCTCGAGGGATCCCAGATTGGAGAGGGTACAGGCTGGGCTGAGGGACCCCCCCCATGCACAAATTTTATGCACCGAACCTCTAGTCCTATATAATAAAACGCTAAGCCAAAATTGGTTTGGCTCAGTGGATAGAGCATTGGTCTGCAGACTG